GCACGCATAACCTGATGACTTTCCAACATAGGGTCACACTCTCTAGTTGATGCCAGCATAACCTGATGACTTTTCAACATAGGGTCCCACTCCCTAGATGATGCTAGCATACCCTGATGATTTTCCAACATAGGTTCACCACTCCCTAGTTGATGCAAGCATAACCTGATGTCTTTCCAACATAGGGTCATCACTCCCTAGTTGATGCAAGTTTGATGACTTTCCAACATAGGGTCCCACTCCCTAGTTCATGCCAGCATAACCTAATGACTTTCCAACATAGGGTCCCACTCCCTAGTCGATGCCAGCATTACCTGATGATTTTCCAACATAAAGTCACCACTCCTTAGTTGATGCAAGCATAACCTGATGACTTTCCAACATAGGGTCCCACTCCCTAGTTGATGCGAGCATAACCTAATGACTTTCCAACATAGGGTCCTACTTTTTAGTTGATGCCAGCATAACCTGATGATTTTCCAACATAAGGTCACCACTCCCTAGTTGATGCAAGCATAACCTGATGACTTTCCAACATAGGGCCCCACTCCCTAGTTGATGCGAGCATAACCTGATAACTTTCCAACATAGGGACCCACTCCATGGTTAATGCCAGCATAACCTGATGACTTTCCAACATAGGTTCTCGCTCCCTAGTTGATGCCAGCATAACGTATGACTTTCCAACATAGGGTCCTACTCCCTAGTTGATGCCAGCATAACCTGATGATTTTCCAACATAAGGTCACCGCTGCCTAGTTGATGCAAGCATAACCAGATGACTTTCCAACATAGTGTCCCACTTCCTAGTTGATGCGTGCATAACCTGATGACTTTCCACCATGGGGTCTCACTCCCTAGTTGATGCTAGCATTACCTGATGACTTTCCAACATAGAGTCTCACTCCCTAGTTGATGCTAGCATACCTTGATGAATTTCCAACATTGGTTCACCACTCCCTAGTTGATGCAAGCACAACTTGATGCCTTTCCAACATAGGGTCACCATTCCCTAGTTAATGCAAGTTTGACGACTTTCCAACATAGGGTCTCACTCCCTAGTTCATGCCAGCATAACCAAATGACTTTCCAACACAGGGTCTCACTCCCTAGTTGATGTCAACATAACATGATGACTTTCCAACATAGGGTCCCACTCCCTAGTTGATATCAGCATAACCTAATGATTTTCCAATATTAGTCACCACTCCCTAGTTGTTGCAAGCATAACCTGATGAATTTCCAACATAGGGTCCCATTCTAGTTTGAATCACAGATACTTCCAGTATAATCTACTGGAAATTTTTGAGTTTTACATATTAAATTAAGAAAACTGCAGTATTTTATACTGGTGTTTTACTCTATACAATTTTTTTATAATTTTTTATTGCAGTTCGAATGAAAGATATTTCCAGCATAATACATTGGAGTTTTATGAGTTTAACATATTAATTTATAAAGCTTCAACGTATTATACTGGCGTTATCTTTTGTACCATTTTATGCATTATTTTTTCTGGTTTTTAATTAAAGATCCCTCCAGTATTATATGCTGCAGACTTTGTATCTTTCGCGTACGTAATTATAAAAGTTTAGCATTTTATTCACAACATTAGGGAAACCTTAAAAATTTAGATGTGTTTCTTCTGGTTTGAATCACAGATACTTCCAATATAATCTTCTGGAAATTTCTGAGATTTACATATTAAATTAAGAAAAATGCAGCATTTTATACTGGTGTTTTATTCCATACCATTTTTTTATAATTTTGTATAGTGCTTTGAATGAAAGATACTTCCAGTATAATACATTGGAGTTTTATCAGTTTTACATATTAATTCAAAAAACTCCAGTGTATTATACTTGTGTTTTGTTCTGGTTTTGAATCAAGCACTACAACACCATTTTATGAGATACTTCCAGCATAATAAGTTGGGAGTTTCTCAGTTTTAGATATTAATTGAGAAAAGTCCAGCATATTATACTGGCGTTTTGTTTTGCACGATTTTATATTATTTTTTGTGGTTTTGAATTAAAGATATCTCCAGTACTATAGATGTGTAAACACAGATATTTCGAGTATAATATATGCATAATTTAGATATTCCAGTATACCTCCAATACTATATGTTGGAGTTCATGTTGTTTTTCATATGAAAAATTTATAATAAAGTTAGAACAATGCATATTTTATTAGTTACGATCTGAATTACAAACAAGAAGATATATAATACAATTAAGCACAGATTAACGCATTGAGAAAATTCGAGATTAACACAGATTAAAGCATTAAGAACAAACCATAAAATTCGAAAATCAGAAGAATAATTGAGAGCTTACTTCACTCAATTATTTTACTGATTTTTTGAATTTTCTGGGTTGAATTACAAATGAGAAGAATCATAGAGTATCACATTGAAGTCTGTGATCGTAGAAGAATACAAATATCTAACAAGAGAAATTCAAATAATCAGAAAAATAATTGAGAGAGCTTACTTCGATCTGTATATTGACGCCGCAAGATTCTGCTAAAACAGAATATGAAATCAAGTCGCGTAAATTTTATAAAGAGAGTAGGGGTATTTTAGTCAACAAATTGTTAACGTGCTTACTTAGTGGTTAAATATAGTTGACCTTTGATTATGTGGCTAAATTTGATTGACCAGGCAAAGCGCCTTGAAGCTAGCTAATCCAGCCAGCAAGCCATAAAAGAAAGGGGAAAATTAGTAAAGGTGCCCTGTGCGAAACTAACTCTTCTAAAACCTGAAATGGGGAAGGAGAACCCGAAGCTTCTTTAGTTCTAGATGATGCAGATCCAATCTCATCTCCTGAGCTATACCTATAACTTATGCAAATTTTTATTTTCCCGAACTTAGTTAATAAATAAGGCGAGATGGAGACCCTGATTTGGACCCTCATGATCGAGCTTATGATTGTAAAGAATGCGGAGTCATAGTCAAACGATTCAAACCAGGTTGAGAGCGCCGAAGCTTATCCAGCTGAAGCACTCACTTCAACTCCTGTCCTTGGCCATTTGTAAATTTTTCGCGTGTGATAGTATAAGCGTAAGGTCTTCACTGTCACTCTAAAATCCGAGTCATCCGAGTCATTATATATTTGCAGTGACCTAATCCACAAGTACAAATTAAAGAATCAAAAATGGAAATCGGCAAAAAATGATCATAGTCTATAAACTTGTAGCTTATAAAAGAATCATTAAAATTAATTGTGATAAGTTAGTCACCAAAAAATGTAACCGAATATATGTAAATATTCTCAAAAAATGCAATCTAAAATTAAAGTTGCAGTACGAGGTCAAAGAGTAGAAATCCAGAAACGGTTAAACCTCTCTATTGACATACTAAAGTCTGTCTATATCAATCTGATTGTCTCTCAAGAAGCAGACAAACAACAGTAGACTACTACAGTTATTTTCTTCCGACTAAATATGAACTGGAAGTATAATTACACCTCAACTTTCGATTTGATTTACAATCACTCACCTGCGGGCATCTGCTGATCATTTGCTCATTCAGATAACTTACCAACTTTTGACAGCATTGTTACTACACTGGAAAAAAAACTGTGGAAAAAATCAGCCCAGGCAGGGAAGGAGGAGGTCAATAGCTGAAAACCTCTCGTACCAGGACCCAGCAATGGGGCAATCAATGAAGAAGGGAACCTCAGTATTTACAAAAGAAAGGCTACTTGATATAGCCATAGAAACCTATCATAGGAATGGCTAGTCGAAACTTGAAGAGCGACTAAACCTCCCTTGCAAATAATCCTCCACGGAAATGGTTGGTCCTGTGCTGTTACAGGAAAGTGAGGACTCATCCTCCAGATTCATCAATGCAAGATTAATAAAGGATTGTATGTTTGACGCTGGTTGTTCACCATCAACAGCATCTACTTCCTCTGAAGCTTTGCCTTCTTCCCTCGCCCACTTAATTGTTTCTACCTCACCTTGGAGGAGTTTCACCACCTGTTTTATTTTTTGTGCTGTTAAATATAACAAATAAAACAAGGCAGCAGCATATTGTAGTATACAACAACCCCAAGTTGAATAGCAGATGCAGTTTACTCACGATGTCAATTTGAGGTCTAAATCCAGGAGCTCGTCTGATGCAAAGTGATGCAGCTAGGACCATTCTCTCGAATTGATCATGGTCATATGCGTCTATCAAGCTAGGATCTAGCAACTCCCTTATTTCCCCACCCTTCAGAGCTTGTTTCGCCTAAAGATCATTATCAACAATTTGCAAAGCTCAATCTACTATGCACTGGGAAGAGAAAGGATACTCTATTCGTGAATTGCAAAGATGACAACTTACCCACATGACTAAGCTTTCCTGACCTTTCCCGTTTCCATTATCAATTGGCTTTTTACCAGACAAAAGCTCAAGGAGAACAACACCAAATGCATAGACATCAATCTTTTCAGTTATCTTTCCTTGCATAAAGTACTCTGGAGCCAAGTAGCTGCAATACAAGATTAGTTAGAACAAAGGCTCCTATTTTTATATGAAGTGACGAGGATAATTGTTATCTGAAATCAAAATGAAAACTTTAACTTACCCAAATGTTCCAGCAACATCAGCGCTATCTAAATGGTATGAACAACTTGAGGCCAATGTTGCAAGTCCAAAATCTGAAAGCTGAATGCAAGACAGTTGTTAATACTAGTTATTCAAAGCAAGATGTAACACCCTACGGAAGAAGAATAAATTACCTGTGGCACAAAATCATCAGACAGGAGAATGTTTGAAGATTTCACATCCCTATGAATTATGGGGCCATCAGCTGCATTGTGTAGGTGGTCCAGTGCCTCAGCAACACCCAAAGCAACCTTGTACCTATCTTCCCAGCTAAGTGAATTTTGATCCTTTTCAGAACCTAGTATTTTATATCTTTGGTCAGCATAACAAATCAAGAGGAAAAAGAAAGCCTTCAAACAAGCAGGAAATATCTTGTTAAGGTACCATGGAGATTCTCTTCTAAGCTTCCTCTGGATAACAGATCATAAACCAGCAGAAGGTTTTTCTCCTCTAAACAAAATCCAAACAGTGAAATAATGTGCTTGTGGTGCAGAGTCGTAATTATTTCAATCTCCGAAAGAAATTGCTTTGCCACAACTTCTGATGGCTTCAATATTTTTACAGCAAGTTGCTTGCCGTCTGGAAGGCACCCTTTGTAAACCTTACTGCTGCCTCCCTTTCCAATCAAATTTTCTACAAAAATAGTTAAATTTAGTAAAAGTGAGAATGTATGCCAAAATTTTCAAAATTCAGAAAGGTCGGACATACCAGGAAGGAAACTAGAAGTTGCTGAACAAAGCTCCTGGTAGCTAAACAATCTGCAAATAGACGAGTACCTCTCAGTAAGACCCTCCAGTTCCTCAGGAAGGATAATGAAGCACTCATCTGAAAGAGCACTAGCATTACTTCCAAAAGGAATAATTGCTCCCTTCTCTTCATCCAACTTTGTACGATGAGGCTCATCCTTGTCAGATACACTCTGTTTATGATCAGGGTAGATAGCTGCAAAAGATTGCCGACTTGGTCGTTTCCAAACCCATTGCATCATAGATGACCTTTTCGTAGGAGATTTTTCAGATGCCACTATGTTGTGAAGAAACACTCGTCGAAGCAGCGCCCACCGAGACTTTGATTGATGGACTTCAACACTCCTAACAGGCACCAAAGCCATAGCATTGTTCTCAGGACACGAGTCTTTTTCCGCAGCTCTTTTAGGTGTTAAGCTCAAAGGACTTTTTCTCAATGTCTTCCTTCTCTTGAATCTTGATTCGGGCACATCTGAGTCACTAGACTCATCTCCAACTGATGAAGCACCTGCGGCCCTTTGATAGACGATTTTGCCATTGTCAACAGCAATAACTGAGATGCTCTTTGCCACTTTCCTAGCACAGTACTTTGCAATTGACACTGATGACCGGATGGTATGATGGTTGCCTGAAGTCCCAACAATCAAATTTGTAGCACTCTCCAACTTTGCTTCACGAGCAAGAACTTTACGAACTGGTGATCCTCGACAGACTTTAAGCTTCAAATGCACCTGAACAGAGTTCATCTTAATACAAATTCTATTTTTAAACAAAAAAGGAGGTTGGATTTGTCTCCTCTTACTAGGCAGCAGACGAACAGAAAAGAAACTACACAAATCTCAAATCTACTTTACTGTAATCAAACTAACTTGGATCTAAATTTTAGAAGTACCACTAAATTTTTCCCTTTTCTATTTCCCACTTCCTGTTCTGTTAGGGTAGATTATAAATTCTGTGAAGTTATCCACACAGTGAAAGGACGAAGAAGAAAATGAGGGTTTAATGAGAAAACCTGCTTTAAATTGCAGAAGCCTTCATAAGCAGCCAGCATCGAGTCAAATGTCTTCACCAATGCAATAGGCTCTGGTTTTTCTTCAACAATATAAAAAAAGGTATATATTCAGTATTGCAGTCCAGAAATATTGGAGATAACAAAAAAAATCAGAAGAAGAAGAAGAAGAAAGCAAATGAAAATGAAAAAAATTGGTGAGAAATTAAAAGTTGCGAGCAATTACATTGTTAAATGAAGCGGTGTGTAAAATGTGACAATTTCACAATACCCGTTATACAGAGCAGAAAAGACCGTAAAAACTAACAGAGAAAACTGAAACAAATAGCAAAAACAATTTTTTTAAAGAAAAAACAGAAATTGCCATAACTATTATCCATCAATCAACGAGTAAACTGAGACAGAAATGTATAATACCCATTACGAAAATACTAGGGTATCCGAACTAATCTACAACTTTTTCCACTAAAACAAAAACAAATAAATTGCAAAAATTATGGAGTGAATTATTTATTTACCAGTAGTATTTGGATCGAGAACATGAACAGCAACAACATGATCTCCAGGCTGAGCGACCTTAACCAAAGCCCACGTCAGCAACTCTTTACTCCTGGAATCTAACTTCACTCCCACCACGGCCACCACCCTTCCACCGCCGCCCACTTCTTCTCCGGCGCCACCATTTTTATCACCATAATTAATAATATTACCGTCGCTTTCCACGATACTACAGTTACCAGTACACACTTTCATTGCTCCGTCGTGATTTGTAGCGAAAAGGGCGCAGTGTGTAATGGTGTGTTTTCCGCTTTCTCTCTTTCTCTCTCTAGAAATGCATTGGGGTTTGAGAGAGAATCGCACACTGCACTTTTGTGTGTGTGTGTATAAATTAGGAAAATGAGAAATGATGAATTGTTTACTCCCCATATATAACTGATTTTGTCAGAAAGGGTGGTGGGGTGGTGTATGTGTGTGATCGCAAATTCCGGTGTGGAATCTACGTAAGGCATCTTTCTTTTTCCTTTTCAGCATTTAATCAAAATAGAAAAATGTATATTTTTAGAAATAAAAGATGATAATACATTAATATATATATATATATATATATATATATATATTATATGCTTTTTATCAAGCAGATATAATTAATTTCAACTAACTGATCAATTTTGTAGTTTGTCCTTTAAAATATGTCTCACTCACACTATAAATATTTTTCACAACATAATTTAACGTAGTATACTTTCTTTGATCCGAAATATGTATCTTTTGGCCTAGTCATTTTGGTAAAAATAAGTGTCCTACAGAAAATCAAGAGACATTAATTATTAGTATTATTTTAAATCTATCCCATCTCTACTAAAGGATAGATGATCTAAGAATATGAGGAGAGATAAAACGATAATATGAGGAAATACAATGAATAACTCAGTCAAATGATTCCTGTTATAATGTTATTATTAATAAATAATGAATATTTATTTTACACCGGAGGAAGTATCAATTAGTAAGTATTTATCACATAGATTTATTTATACCTTATTGTGTAAAAAAAAAATTACACCGCAAGTTTATATACTCCCTTAGACTATTTTTTAAAATTTGGACCATATGCGATTTGTTATAGCATCATGAATGACAATGAAATTGACAGGAGTCTTGATTTTGTAGGAGTGAGACAACCTACATCTCATTATTATGACATGAAAAAGTTAAAACAAACATATTTCTCTATACGAAATAAATTTTATTTAGTAATAAAATGTTTTCCAAAAAGGTAAACTTTTACCAGTTTGTCAGAAATTAATTTTTTTTTCTTAAACGTTTTCTCTAATTATAATCCACAACACATAAACTATACTTTCAAAAACTTTCCATAGCTCATTTTCTCAAAATTAGATTGGGAAAAGAATAGGAAGAAAAACTTTTCACTAATAGTTTTGATTTTTCTTTTTTAGCATACCACGTCAAAAAGCTAAGAACAGAAAGTTTACTTGAAAAAGAAATAAAAATCACTTTTAAAATTTTGAAACTCATCTTTAACATTTTTTTTAAAATTCATCTTCACAAATTAAATGAAATAAATAACCAAACAATAGTTTGAAGATGAGTTTCCGAAAAAATAAGTATGGACAAACGAGTCGTTAGTCCTCTCTCGTGTAGACGAGGACGCAATTTCCTATATGTAGAAAAATTTGTTTGTGTTTGTCTTTGATTATCGTTTGCTTAATGAGAAAAAAATTTAGCGAAAATAGCCTCGAAAAGAGCAAATAAAAGAGGGAACACTGCTTTTAAAGTAAAACAGTGGATTTTATATCTAACAAAATCTCCTCAAATTAGCATTATATTCTAATGATCATAATCATGGATAGTGCATGTTTTAGCATCAAATGTTCCGTAAAACAACTACATTTGTGCATGACGAAAGATAAATCTTATACCAATATAAACCGGTTTAAAAAAGTCGCTAAACGCACAAAGTATCTCGTATTCATGTAAGGTTCAGGAAAAGGACGTCTTGGGTTGATATAGACAGCATATCCTAATGCAAGTATTAGTGGCCGCTTTTATGGCTCGGACTCATGAATTAATAAATTTGGTGAAAACTTAATTATTTTTCCAGTATGAAATATCTTTGTTTCCTTAATCTACTACTATATGAAGCCATCTATTTTGGAATAACTTATAAGGATTATGATATTGATGATTTGAAAATTATTAGGAAATTAGATTCGCAACTTGATGAAATTAAGTTACTTTCACATTGCAAGTTTCCTACAATCAAAGGGACACAATCATAAAAGGTAATAGGATCTCCTTAGTAGCATAATAAAAAGCCGTTGACTCATTATATTTTCATTTTTTTCAACCTCTTGAATTAAATGAGAAAATAATATATTTCCTTAAGTAAACATGTTTAGCAGATTATTGCAATTATGAATTATGTCTATGTTGCAGACTGAACGATTTATTTTCTTTTTTCCCCTGGCACTTTGACCACAATATGTAACTGCCTTGCTTGTTATGACAAATGAGTGAAGTGCTTTTAATGCACTTGAACCCTCTAATCCTCAAGAAGAGAGTAAATTAGTTCAAGAAATAACGGATTTTATTATTAGCCAACATTATGTAGATTAACGGCTTGTTTGGATGGTTGTTACCTGTTGTATTGTATCGTATTATTACTTTAAATACAATGTTTGTTTTGATTGTTACTTATATTTTATTATATCGTATCGTTAAATCTTTCGTCATGTAACGACGAAAAGTGCAGCTTTATGAAACGGCCGAGTTGGTGTGGTCGCGTCGTTTCCTTAATTTTTTCTCCCATCTTGCCCTTTTTTTATTATTAAATAATTATATTTTATTCTTTACCCCATCATTTTTAGTTATATAATAAACCTCATACCTTATTTTTTATTTATAATATTACAAGTTTATTCTTCATATTGTTGGTGCATGACATCATGAAACGATGGCAAACAATACAATCTATCCAAACATTGTATACATCAAAACGGTACAGTACATACGATACTATATGATACATTATGAAACGATACATAACAACCATCCAAACAAGCTGTAAGTATTCGTGTAACATGTAGGTCATGAGTTCGAGCCGTGAAAACAACCACTAACGCTTGCATTAGAATATGCTATCTATATCACACCCTTCAAGGTGCGGCCCTTCTACACATCCTGCGTGAATGCGAAATATTTTGTGCATCGGACTGTTTTTTTGTTAGTTAGTTTATTCGTGGAGAATCCAATAAAAATCAAGAAAATGCTCGTTTATGGAGGCTACACATTCATTTTGGTAGACCCATTTTCAACTAGCATTTATGGTCAAATTCTTTAGTAAATTATTCGTTTTGCTAAAGAGTGATGTTTCATGTTTGGGACCAGCCAATATTCTGTATCCAATGCTGCTATTCCAAGGCATCTACAGAGTTTACCAACCCCACAAGTAAAATAAAATTAAATATTAAAATTATATAAAAAGACAACCTAAAAGTATCATAATAAAGTGAAAAAGAGGAAAAGAAGGAAAGGGAGAGGAAAGGCATAAAGGGATTATATAATGATGGACGTGTTAAAGAAATGAATGTTAATGTAATGATATCAAGACTGTTCTTTTGACCCTTCTTTCAGGTCCAAAGAATAAAGTTCATGGTCTTAAGAAAGAAAATAAGTGGATAAAATAAAGTCATGACGGAATTAAAAGTTTTAAAAGAATTTTGAGCATAATTCCGCCTAGACTTTTAGGCAAGAAGTACACTGGTACCCGTTTATCCTAAAATTCGAGTAACAATTAGATGTATATTGTGGTTTTAAGAATATATAATTCAATCAAATGTCAATTGATAAACAAGCAATTAAATAGAAAAATTAGAGAATAAAATTGATCAAACCAGTATGGTAGCCAAATTTCGACCCCGACCTGTGATAGCCTCGAGGTATGATAATAAAAATAGCAAATGATAAAGCAACTTTGATGAACACTAGAACGAAATAGCAAGAAAGTAATGGGCGTATATACTCTTCTTAGTGAATAATGATCCTTACAAATGAATGGAATTCCTCTTTGTATAATAAAGGATTCCTAATTAAGGTATACTTCTAATACAGTAGGAAATCACATTAACAGCTGATTAACCGTCATAGATTGATTCATTTCGAGATTATGCCACGATCCTCGAGCAATCGCGGTATCTCGCCCTTTCCGTTATAAAACTATTCCGATGTTATTCGGAGTATGTCCCTTTCTGGCCTCGATTGATGTCGACCTCGATCTGAAAAAGGCTTCGAGTTCGAACTCGACGTGCTAGCTCTTCGACGTGCCATTCCTATCTCGACCAAATAGTGAAATCGGGTAACCCTAATTTCTACCTTATACAGATAGTCCCCTCGTTTCTTAGAGTAAAATGATAAGAAACGACTTGAGCCTCGATCTTCTGAAGACCTCGATAGTGATGTCGTCCCTGTGACGTAAGCGATCGAGGTGACAGAAACGTCCCGTCGGTACAGTTCTCCCAATCATTAATGTTTGTCAGCAGGTGGTCAGCTACTAGCGCCATCGAACTGTCGCCGTGTACCTATAAATACATGTTCTTATTTGAATCAAAAACTTTACTTCCGCCTTTAAATTTCCTCTCTTCATCTCTTCTCTTTCACAACCTGTTGATTCAACCTTTTTTGCACCAAAAATACCAAGCTCCAGCTCTTTTCGCTTCCTTCTACCTAAACCAATGGCGAAAACTTCCAAGACCGTCCCGCAAAAGGTAAAGCTTCTTCCTCTTCTTCCCGGCCGGCCGGTGACAAAACACCGATGGAACCACTCCCTCACGAGTACGTTCCCGGCCCTTGCGTCCTAAAAACTGACTTCAAAGTCGAGAATCCTCCATCATTCCCCGGCCGATATGAACACGTATCGAGATAATTTGCTCGATAACGGTAAAATAGCTCGAGACCGTGAAGAAGGACTGCAACTGGGGGGCCGAGGTTGTGGTTCAAATCCCTGCTCCCGAAGAGAGTATCACCACTCACGTGGAGAGGTTTCTGAGTGTATACACTTACCCCTTCACATTGGGTCCTCTTGACCCAGTCACCGTTGAATTTTGCAAGACGTATCAGGTTACCCTCGGCCAGGTGCATCCCTCGTTCTGGCGCATAGTGATCATGCTCCATTTCTTCTCCGGCAAGGCCAAGGGGTTGGAATTCACCCTTGGCCACCTCATACGGCTGTCTCGACCTTGACTTTTTCGAGGATTAATCAAGCTTCAACGCCGATCAACGAAGTCCTTTTTTGCAAGCATCAGTGAGGACAAGGATCGAGGTTGGATGAGCCGGTTCGTGCGGGTAAGGACCTGCGACCTTATCCCCGAGGAAAAACTGTCGTTCCCC